AGTCTTAAGTCGTACAAAGTGGATCTGGAGAGAACCGCACAAGCTTAGCCGAACCAACTTAAAATGTCATGGTAGTATACGCGAATAATGTGTCGTTTAAAAAACGTTGGCTCTTTCGCAGTTATTTTAGCATTTTTCTAGCACTTTTAACTTTTTGGTATAATTTAACTATAAAATCTGGGTCGCCAGCATGCTGCTTGCAAGGACACAAGGTAAAAAGGGCCTCATTTCATCTGGTCCACCAATTCATGTCTAGTTTTGTTTTGTCTATTTAATTTGGAGAAACTAGTGCGTAAATATGTTGAAATGCAGGTCAAATACAAAATATTTCACACAATACGGCAAGAGTTTGTCATTGAAACCATAAATAACTGTCTAAATGCTATTGTGTTTTGAGTTTCGAAATTACTCTCCATTTCAATCGTCTTAATATTCAAGGAAAAGATTTCATATGACTGACTTATTCGATCATCAGTTTCCACACAAAATGTTCAAAATCAATAGATATAATGTACTGTGCTGAACCAGAAACAGTAAAAATGTCTGCAGCTTGACCGATGATGAATTAATTTTATTTCTTTATCAAACACACAATTAAACATGATACAAAATAACAATAACGACATTTGGGAAAAGAAATACCTTAGATAAAAAAACAACTGTAACGTTAAAAAATGCGTCGCAAAAACACAGATTGTAAAACAGAAGTAGCGAGAGAGCTATCTGCCATCTTGAATAAAAATTTTATTTTTTAAATGTTGCGCTAGCGGTAATGATTCAATAGATTGATCATTGAAATTAAACATGTACATTCTTATTTGTCTACTGCATAATAAATCTAATTTCAATGGTTTTTTGTACATATTTCTCAAATAATCTAAATATTGAATCAATGTGTCATAAATGGATTGTCGATGTATTTGTATCGACTTTATCGATGTGTAGGGTGATCTTGGTACGGGTGCAGTGATCATCGTTGATAATTGTTTACGAATACAATTGGCATTTGGATCCAAATAACCATAATAAACCGACAGACGTAAAAAATGTTTGACGATAGTCAATGATGGACATGTAGTTGAGTTTGTGTTAAGCTCACAGCAAACAGCTCTCAAATAGATAAATTCAAAGATATGTTCAATTAACAATTGATAATTTTCACACGGGACATTATAGTATAGCAGTTCAATAATACACAATAAAAATGTATCAACGTAGATCAGAGAACGGCGTTCAATAAACATAGTCGACGAAATATTTTTTATCAATTGAATAAATGCATCACAATTTTGAAATGGCTTAATAACACTACCATATTGAAGTAAATTTCTTATTATCGATATATTCCAATAATATAAAGCATTTTTTAAACCACAATCAAATTCATAACGACACTGATCAGGATAGTTTATCAAAAGATAATCACGAACATATTCATATAAAATCGGATAATTTGATTCTAAACAAAACCACTTAACAGTATGCAGTTAAAACAAGCGGAACATATACATCATAGAAGTATAAACATGTCGCATCATTCAGATTTCTAGCTAGAATTTTTCTGGAATTTCTGAGGAATTTCCTCAGTGAGAATTAACCAGTTACCTAATCCACAGAGTCGTTTGAATGGGGTCACGTTATTGATATCTTGGACAAGCAAATTTGCATTATAAGCTAATAACGCTTGTACATAATAAAACCGTCTGCTAACATCATTTGTCATAAACACCACAGCAAATTGTAATGGCGTCTTTCTATCTGTGGTTAACTGGACATTGGTATCGAAACCGGCTTTTAACAATAATTTGAAAATGTGGTTACAATCGTGAACGACTGAATCATGCAATGGACTTTGTAATGTATTATTAAATTTTGTTAATTGGTATTCTTTTAAATGACATACAGATGATCGCAAACGCCTTGAACAATAAGAGTTTTGACCTATATTTTCTTCTGCTTCTTGTTTATCTTCTAATATACTTGCAATTTTATTCAATATTATTCTACTAATATTTAATTGTTTACTTTTACAAAATGATGAGATAAGAAACAGTTGTTGATTAATGGATGAATATGGAAAATGTTTTTCAAATAAATCAATAACTTTTTCTTTTGTAGAATCACCATCGATAACTAGATTCGTATCGACATCAGCATTTATTGTAAGATCGGTGGAACCACTTTTATGGGTAAAAATTTGTTTTAGTTGTGTACAGATATCAATTGTTAATTCATCGGAAATAGACGAATAAATATCACAGGCAAATTGTTCTCTTGTATCAGGGCAAGGCATTCTGTTATTGATCTTCTCCATGAATAAATCTAAAACTTACTTGAATAGTAATTATTAAAAAATATACATCAGTTTTTTCTGCTTGTTTAACACAAAGTACACAAAGTTATGTAGGTGGTCCAGTGAAAATGCGTCACGTTTTATTATAAAAGCAAAAGTGGACGGATATATAAAAAACATTTGATGAGGTTTGAAACAGTCAACTGTCTAACCGAAAAAATAGTTTTTCGACTTTATTCCTTTATCTGTTGAGATATGAAAAAAGCTAACTAGCCAACTTGTAGCGCTTCAAAAGCTCTATCTTCTAGCTATAATCAGCGTTTTACTACAGCGAAACTGATTACATGATATTTTTTTATTTTTACTCGTTTTCAGAAAAATGATTATTTTCGCACATGAGTTTCGTTCGCACCATTGGGTAAAATTGGCATACCCCGTACAAAATCAAACTTTTTGGGTTCCGATTTTTTCTTGTTCTATAGTGGAATGAGATGTCTTTTATATTCAAATACAAGAATTAGAATAATTTCTCTTTCATTCAATACGCTAAGTAAAAGGATGAAATTTAACTTGCCATCCAGTGAATTTTAATAAGGTTACCCTTGGTATCATAATACTAGGCTTGAACGAAATCCATCATACACGATGAGAAAGACCAACATTGACAGCATCAGAAAACTTATTTTAGTGTATCTTGGCGATTCCATAAGGCTTTGAAAAAGGTCTGAATTCGAAGCAAATACTTTAGAAACTTACCAATTTCAAAACCTCAGTGTTTTTCATATATCCGTTCACTTTTATAATAACACGCTCAATACGATTTTTGTAGAGAATTTCAAGGCACATCTTGCGGTATATGGATGAACTCAAACTGATGAAACACGGCAGAGAGAAATCGAAAACAAAAAGTGATTCATTTTCACTGGACCACTCGACAGTAAAAAGAAAGTGAAGCCGAAGTCTCATCACATTTAACATACGACGATGGGTACATATATTGTAACACTTCCTGTTTCAAATCTACTTTCGGACACATGTATCCTTTGCTTGTACAAACGTAACTCAGCTATAACACCCTTAATATGATGAATAAAATCGAAGAGAAAGGAAGAGCTTATTGTCGGTATTTCGTTTACATAGACAGAGAAATCAGAAAATGCTACGACGACGACAACAATGTGTCATTCTGCCAAGTTACATTAACTTCACAGAATTAGTCACATCTATATAAGGGCATTTGTACAACCAGAATTCTGATCTAATAAAACTGTACAAAGAGCGAAATGTCACAAACTAAAATCTCTCATTTGTTTTTAATAACAGACGTTCCTCTAGATGAACTCGAAGTGGGAATATGTTGTAGAAATCCTTAGAATAATATAATTAAATAATAAATAAATCAATATTTGTTTCCTATACCATGTTATTTATTTTTATTCGAATATAAAAACGTTAACAAGTTTTCTTTAGATAATAAAACAAAAAGCCTATTCTGTTGTCCGTCATCTTATAATTTGAGTTTTGTTCTTCGCCAATGGCGTCTTTTCGAATTGTATCGTATTGTATTACCAGTGCGCATACGAATCTTAAAATAATAAAAGAAATTGCATCAAATACAACCTAACGGCAAACTAGTGAGGATACATACCCATTGTGGAACCGGTCTATTTTGCTTCTGTTTTTTAGCCAGAACCTTCTTTATCTTCAATGTCTTGTGTGCAGACATTATTTTAAGTTTAATTCTAAGAAAAACATTAAAAAAATATACGTCATAGTTGTGGTTTGTCTATGTTTTGAAAAATCTAACATTTTCAGTATATAAGGCTCTCAGTGAAAACTTGGTGATATAGTTTCACACAACTTTTGTCAGATAA